GGTTACAAGAAGAAAAGAAAAGGTTGCAAGAAGAAAAAAGACTCAGTAAGGCATTTACCATGCTTCACTGTAAAACCTTTAATTAGAACATTTAGATACTACTAGACCTAGTACTGGGAGAGGTGTTGCTAGTAAAGCTTACACACCAAAGAGCAGCAATGAAACTGGTATGAATTTTAGAATATGTTATTAATATATAGTTATCTCTAATTTAGATACTACTATTACTCGGAGAGGTGTTGCTAATGGTAAAGCTAGTGTACCAAAGAGTAGCAATGAAACTGGTATGAATTTATAAAATATGTTATTAATAAATAGTTATCTCTAATTTAGATACTACTATTACTCGGAGAGGTGTTGCTAATGGTAAAGCTAGTACACCAAAGAGTAGCAATGAAACTGGTATGAATTTATAAATTATGTTATTAATATATAGTTATCTCTAATTTTAGATACTACTATTACTCTGAGAGGTGTTGCTAATGGTAAAACCAGTGCACAAAAGAGTAGCAATGAAACCGGTATGAATTTATAAAATATGTTATTAATATATAGTTATCTCTAATTTAGATACTATTATTACTCAGAGAGGTGTTGTTAACGGTAAAGCTTATAGTGCACCAAAGAGTAGCAATGAAACTAGTATGAACAACCTTCATTTGTTTTGTAATAATTATGATAAAAATTAAGTTGTTAAAGGGTTAAGTATATAATGCTCTATTACCTTTATGTTGCCCTGCCTTTATTTTTTATTATTATTATAATAGATTGTGAAAAAGAAACTTGCAAACACCGACGTGCTGTGACTTGGATTGAGTGCTCTCGATGCAATAAGTGGCTTCATTGGACTTGCCACGCTTGCGTAGGCGGATACTAAGCAGTTGGGTTGTCATTCTGTCATTCTGTCCACACAGTTTAATTGATTTGTAAAAAAATTATCTTTTTGTCTGAGCAGTCTGGAGCTCTATTTCTTCTTCTAGCAACAGATAAAGTTGCTTTCTTTCATCTAGTTATGCTCTTGTAGCATCCCGTGGCACCAAAAGCTGTGAACTGCTAAACCAGGGGACCTCTCTCCAGGTGAGAGCTCGTGTTTCACTCTACAGGGCTGAGATTTGCTTCAGAGGTAGAAAATCCCATCTAACAAAAAATAAAAAGAACGATTTTGTCCTAACTTCGTTGTTTGTGAGTTACTGTTGCTCAAAGTTTGTGATTTAGCCTCTTTGAGAATTTTTCAGGCGGCACTGGGGAAAGCAGGAGCAACCAAACTCTCTCAGTCTCTTTTAAATGTCTAGAAAATTTTTCTGTGCCAACTCTTTCTTGGAATAGAGCTTCAGATGCTAAAATAAATTTCAGCTTTTCTTCTTTCTCCTACCCATGTGCCATGATTTAGTTAGTTGTTGACCACACCCATAGCTTATTTTAATTATCATTATAACTATGCAGTCAATAATAATAATTTTTTTCAAATTGCTTAAAATATCACAGTACAAGTAATGCATATCACTCAGGTGAATTCCAGCAGGCAAGTCCATTGCACCATAGTGCTTCATTGTATTTGTGCTTCTGTACCTTGTCAAAAAGCTAATGATAAAAGTTTTGTTTTTGTTTGCAAGCAATGTAATACATGACTACATCTAATTTTGTGAATGATAAAACTGAATGAATTTTTTAGAATATTAATAGTTCATCTGAAGATCATGGTGTTTGAATTATTGATAATAATAATAATAGGATATGGCTGGTAACAATTAATAAGGATAAACAGCAGAATTGACTAAATAGAACAAAAAAATTATTTTTAACACGCGTCCGAACATTGGGTGTCTGAAATATGGCTCCCATAGGACCCGTGGTGGAGTGACGATTTCCAGCAATTAGTGCAGAATAGATTCAAAGTTGTCTGCTTTTGGTAAACCCCATTCATTGGTGTAATCATTGATAATAGCAAGAGCACCATTCTCTCTTCCCTCTTAACAGGAGAGCCATCGTCCGCGGATTCACTCTCATGTCTGAAGTGAAGACCGTCCGATAATTTTCACTTGAAAGCATCTCCTGTAAAAACAAAGAGCTATTTTAGCCTGATATTATGAGTAATAACTTAACATGATAAGAAGCACCAGCTGATAAAAGAAGATAAGCAGAAATTTTTAGCACAGTGAAACAAGAGTGTCCGATTGATGGGCGTGGCTGATAATTAACCCTTTACTCTATTTCCTAGATCACACACAACCCTTGACTAAGTGCCGATTTTGATTAAGCACAGGCTTTGACGTGAAAGCTCTCTTGTGACAATAAGCATCCATATTTCAATTAATTGCCCATGACATTGCTGTAGCAATTGAGATACCATATAGCTAGAAATTTGGTTTGCCTGTAAAAGAGGTTGAGGAGGTCAAATTTTGGTGAAATTTTAACTCTGTGCATACTCCCACAAAACCTATGAAATCGGACACTAAAATTTTGGCGAATTAGCTTCCAAATGCCAATTTTGCCAAATTTTTAGTTCACCAAATTTTCTAGCTACATGATAGTATGGTGTTTACATGTATATCAGGGTTCCAAACATTTTGTGCTATTGTTATAGGAAATTACTTTTAATTTCATTTGTGACCATAATTGACAAAAGGTACCAAAAGGTACCTTATGGCAGATAGGAAAATTGGTCTTTATAGGCTAAAAAAATCCATTTTCCTGAGCTCCAATTATCATAAAATTGCTCCAGAGGATGCAAAAAGTTACTATGTAAATTCGAAAAACAATGGTTGTCTAACAGAGCACTCACAGGTTGATATTTTTCATCATAATGATGAACTTAAAAATCCACCATAAGGTACCTTTTGACAATTATGGTCACATTTATAGCTAACAAACAAACAGAAGCATATGACCAAACTTTTGAACAGTGTGGCGGTGTGATGAATGCTGATAGTGTTTGGATTATTCCCAAGAAATAGGAAACAAATCTATAATGTAGTTTCATCTTGCAAGCCATCAACGTCCAGCACTAATGATCCTCTGATTGCTATAATGGAGACGTGTGAGAAAGATGAATTTCAAGTTGAATTGTTCATCAGAAATGTCCAGGGGCTCCAGATGCTATGTGTGTGCTAGCAAAAGATCATCAACTCAATGATATGGTGAGGTTTTGTTGTAATCCAAAGCCATTTGCGGGCAAGGCATTTGTACGTGATACTTTTGGGAGTCAACAAGGGACTCATAAAATCCCAGGCTTGGTAGATTGCGAGCTTCCAACAGATTTTGACACAAAGCTAACAGAGCTGAAGGAAGATTGGAACCAAAGGGAGCATAGCATTCGGTCATCCAGTGAACCAAAATTTTTTTAATTGGTTCTGTAAATATCAGAGTAGAAAAATGAAAGATTGTATGCTTAAAGCACATAGACAGGCTGCAGGATTGGGTGATCCACCAAGTAAATATACGAACAATTCCAATGAGTCAGCTAATGTGAGGATAAAGCAGAAGATAGATTTTAAGAGATCTGAGCTTAATATATTTTGCAACCCTATGAAGGAGTTAGTAGAGCAGCAATACAGGAATGTTGAAAGAGCTTTCATGTTAAATACTGGCCCTTATGAAGTATCACCAGAATATATATCATATAGAGAAGATCCCAGCAAGTGGGTTAAATGCACTAGAGGATATAAGGAAAAGTTTCTGGCTGCTATCCATAAGCTATCACTAATTCCCATTGTTCAATCTGTTGAAGCTAGTTCCACTGATGGCACTGCTGATGTTATATCACCACTCTTACTATCATATAAGGATGTGGATATGCCACGGGAGATATATGAAGGAATGTGGCTAAAAGCATCACAACTATTAGCTAAAACTAAAGCAGTTACTGATACTCTAATCCAACAAGGCTGCATCTAGTTCTGTATTACAAGAATGGAAAGCTGACATGTGAGTATTTGAATTACGAAACAAAGTCTACTTGTGCACATACTTTAGCAACTGCCAAATCATTAAGCATTTTGCCTAGCTTCATTGAATGGTATAAAAGAACAAACAAAACTGCTAACTTGTGGGCACTGGCATAGTCTGGGCTACCTAACAGTGTCGGTAAGAAGCCTACAACTCGAAAACGTCATAGATATTAGAGTTAAAAGGAAAGGGATCGGAAACCACCATTCCTGGCATGAAATGCTCTTTGCCCGTACCACATTAACTCTAATCACTTTTACCAAATAATCAGTGTAAAGAATATTTGAAAACAAGCTATTGACAGGTTGACAGGTCCATGACAGGCCTTCTCTGGATATTAGAAGAGAAACTATCCCTCATACGATGTAGTATTAAGACCTGGGGTCAATTACAAAAGTTCAATTACAATTACGAATTCAATTACACTCCTTTTGCAAGAATAGGCTCAATTACAATTACAATTACACCATGACAGTGTAATTTCAATTACATTTTCAATTACAATTACAATTTGATGTACATGTATTGTAACAACATACTTTGCAGTGCTTACACTATGTGTTAAAAAGAAGTTATTTCGGTACTTTACAGTATCAAAAACACCCAAAGATACCAAAGTACATAAAGAACATTTCTTTGTGCATCTGTACATTCTGTAGTTAGGTAACTCAAATATATTTGAAACTTCAGTTACATAAGCTGAAGCTCAATTACAATTACAATTACATAATTGTAATTGTAATTGACCCTTCAATTACAATTACAATTGTAATTGACCCCAGGTCTGGTAGTATTCCCAGCAGTGTTGTTCTACAAGTAGCCCTTTCCTGCTTTTCAGAAAAATTACTACCAGAAAGATTGTTAGAGTCATTGGAAACAGCCTTGCATTAAGAAAATGAATAAATAGTTTTAAATTATCACTGTGTTGTAATGTAGATGTGAAAATACCTCTGTTACCTCCGCAACAGCAACAGATATTTGTGTAAAAAATTTTAAGGCCAAATTATTTGCTGCTTTTTAGTTAAGGGTACAAAACAAAAGTAATTTTGTAGTCAACATGTGCCTCTGGTCTTTCAGTAATAAGCTATATCACTCATAAAAGGGTCTAGTTACCTTACTTCTCTAGTTATTCTAATGAATATAAACTTAAATTAAAGAGTGCAGTTGAAATCTCGGAGAAAAAGGTACAAAACAAAATTGACAGTGAAAACATCTGCACTTAGCACTTGTGAATGTCATTTTCGATGGGCCAATTTGCAGTATGGTTCATACTAAAATAGTCATAAAACCAATGCTGGCAAGTCAACTCCAAGTTTCAGTTCAACTCATTTGTGGGTTATATATGGACAAATAATCTCATTTATGTACCGTAACAGGAATCTTCACTAGACCAATGAGTTGCAGTCGTAGTAATGTCCCTACCATCAGGAAATGTGACGTGGGGGTGCACCAATAATCGGATCGGTTACCACTATCGGCCAATAATTAGAGTAAAAAGCTGATATGGGTATCTGATAGAATGAGATGATTTTTGGCAACCAATACACATGTGGTTTTACATTGGCGCATGCGCACAACATGTGACAGCACGTGTACAAAATGGCGACGAGGAAAAGGTCACCTATTTGGCACTTCTTTGTGGAGTGTGAAGATACCAGGTTTTGCTCCCTGTAATAACTGTTCTGAAAACGTTTCGCGTGGCAGAAAAGCAACAAAGACCTAGAATATGTCTAATTTGGTGATACATCAAAAAAACACCCAGTAATTTACTCAGATTATCTTGAAAAGAAGAAACGGTTTGATAAAGAATGTGAAATGACAGCTCCGGCCCTTCTGGTGCTGGAACAAGTAAGCATGTAACGCTACAAGAAAGTTATAACTGTGCTCGACCATGGGATATAAACAATAAAGGATCTGTTCTTGTTCTTCAAAAGATTGGAGAAATGATCGCACTTGATTTCCAGCCGTTTTCTATTGTGTCTGATGAAGGATTTAAATCTCTTCTTCACACATTAGAACCCAGGTATACCTTACCAAGCAGACAGTGCTTTACTGATTCAGTTTTTACAAGCATACACCAAGGTATAGTGTCGAAACTGAAATATGAAATAGCCAGTGCACCTTCATGTAGTTTTACGACAGATATTTGCAGTACTGAAGTAAGTAATGACTCAATGATTAGTCTTACAGCTCACTGGATAAATCACTGTTTCGTGAAGAAAGAAGCATGTGCAATCTTTTCCTGAGTCACACACAGGAGAAAATATTTGTAACACATTTAATACTATGTTGGAGAACTGGAATATAGAGAACACATCTGTTCACCTTGTTGTACGAGACAATGCATTAGTGCTGGGCGATAGTATCGATATATGCGATGGTCGCGATAGTAATCTACTATCACTATCGTGATAGTTGAATCAACACTATCACGATTGACACGTGGTACATGTACGCATGCGCATTATCAAACACGTGGTTACTTTAATGAGTTAGTTCAGCTGTAAAAATGGAAGATGTTATCATTAGTAGCAGTACTGCTCCAAAAAGAAACAGAAATATTGCCTTTACCTGGTGCTACTAGTGTTGTATGGAAGTATTTTAGTTTTCCTGCTGTTGATGGTAAAATTTCTGAGTGCTTGAATAATCTCCAAAAGGCTCATGCAGAAATTTCAAGATATTAGAGCCTATTAGCTTAGATATATATGATATACAATCCTTTGGCATGGTGGAACACAAATTTCTTTTGTTATCCAATAATAGCTAGGAAATATTTATGTATACCGGTGGCATCAGTTCCCTCTGAATGTGTATTTATAGTACTGCAGGGAATATAGGTACTAAAAAAAGAGCTTGTCTACATCCAGAAAATGTCCTTCTAGCTGAAAACCTCAAATATTCATCTACCTTTCATCCTTTTGCCTATTTTGTTACATTAAATAAATATATTAAAATTAATTGTTAATATCGTGATAGTATCACTATCGTTAAAATTTTAAGAACTATCAATCGTGATATGATAGTAGCACTATCGCCCAGCACTACAATGCATCAAACATAGTGAAAGCATTTAGAGATGGTGGTTACCCAGACTTAAGTTGCTTCACCCACACCCTACAATTAGATATACATGATGCTGTATTTTCTCAAAGGTCTGTTTCTGAAACTTTAAGTCTTTGTCATCGTATTGTAGGTCACTTTAAGCATTCTCCTCTTGCCAGGAGTTTTTTTGAAGTCGGTCCTTTTTCATTAGTTCTAAAGATATAGGTTGAATAGATGGGCCCCTGAAAATGGACATTTTGGAAGTTCATTGTTGGTACTTAGCGCTTGTCGTAATGTAACTGTCCTATCCTCATGTAGCTTTGTTTGATGCATATTCTCATACTTTAACTTGTTTAGTTTTAGTTACTCCAAGCAAGTTATGGATTGAATAGATTTCACAATTATCACGCATGGCAAAAAAGCTCACTTTTTCTCATGTTAAATTAAAACAAAGCATCACACCACAGTTTTAACAATTTCAAATAATGGAGTAAACCTTCCAGCTACATATAATCAGGCAGTTCTCTTGACCATTTCCGCAAAGCGGCCAAAGGTGATTAGAAGAGAGATGATTACAAAGTCTGTCCACACTCACAAACATTGATTAAATGAGATCAGGTGATCAGTTTCCAATCCATGGTACGTAGTTATAAAATCTATGGTTATGGTTGCTGAAAGTGAGCAGAATGCCCTCTGGAAGGAGCGTGGCCCAAAATTTTTGGCGCGTGCTAAATTAGTTTCCTTTTTCCGGCCCCCACATTTCAGTTCCTTCCGCCACCTGTGAGTATCATGTGATAGAGCCTCAGAATGATTCCCTTGTTCCACTTCCACTAAATTGTCAAATAAGTTAGACAGCAGTTCCAGCGCCTAGTTGTAGTGGCTAAAGACATTTAACTTAACTAAAAACTGGTCCTAACAGTGAAAGTGACATGACTCAGAGCTCCAAACCACAAATATTTAATCTACAAACCAAGTTATTTTTAAGGATTTGCAAAATTTTTCTCTGTAAAATGAACCAGCTGCACTGTATCTAACAGTAAAAATGACATGAATGAGTGACAGACATATATTTTAATGCTAATAATATCAACTTTTAACAGTATTGTGCTCAATGAAAATTGCTACATGCTAACCATTATTTGTTAGGATAAGATTCTTCGTGAGCACATTTGCTCACCCAAAAATTGAAACCTTATTGTATGCCCTGAGTAGAGGAGAGCTCAAAAATTGTTTTCATTTGATAGTCATAATGTTAGTATGTTACTCACAGGGTTCTGCCTGAAAAAAACTGGACGTGGTTGGAGACTAATATTGTTCCTTTTAAATTTATGTACACCATACTAGTAGACTACAATATCATGCTTTATGTATGACTATTAGTATTAATTGGATGGTTGGTCAAAGCGATAAACTGGTTGGTTCATTAGTTAAGGTGGTTGTCCCGACCACCCCCAACCACCATAGGCAGAACTATGTAAAAAGCTAGATGGCCTTAATTATACATAAAAACAAACAATACAGACAAACACGATGAAAAAACTTTCTTCATTTAAAAGGGGTTCCATCAAGCTTACCGCAACCAGAGTGTCCCAAAAATAGACCAGTTGGCACTAAGTATATTCATAGAATTTTAAGTATATTCATTGTGATGCCATAAATAAAGTAAAATTTTTCTACCGCCATTTTGGAGTCCTAGCTACTAAGAGTAGAATCAGAGAAAGCAATATCTTTGCTCCTATAGGTCCTAGTGGCACTCATGAGCCAACTATAGACACTGGATAATGTTTTGTAAGCAGCAGCTAGATTGCTGTAACAAATAACTACAGCAGTTTTTAGAGAATAAGCTCTTTTCACAATCACTCCATAGACAACCATTGGAAGTAGGACTCCAAAATGGCAGCAGAAAAATTTTACTTTATTTATGGTATCACAATGAATATACTTAAAATTCCATGAATATACTTAGCACCAACTGGTCTATAGTGTATAATTAAGTGAAGTCTCCAAAAAACATTTTCAAATGACAAATATTAAACTAATAGCCACTAATTATTACAAACGTCTTACCCTTTTTTGGATGATTAAAAGAAAAACATATTTGAGGAGGCGAAATGACATAGGCATTCCACAAGCGAACAACATATGGTGTTTCATAATGAGCAAGGAAATGTTTCTAATAAAAAAAGTATTCAGTATCCAAATAAATTCAAACATACTTTATCCCTTTCCCGGCATTCTTCAATTGAAGAATATAGCTTGGGAGCAGACAGTGGTGCAAGGTACGAGGAATACTGAAAAGGGATACTAACTCCATCTCCTACAGGCATAACATAAAGTGAAATCGTTACACATTATTATGCATAACATGTACATGTACATAAATAAAAAGCAGAGAAGAGTAAAAAAGCTTTACTGTAATATGCTTTAAACCCTTGAGTAGAATGCAATTAACGGAGCTTCATTAAATGTGTGGGCACTTTGCATATGAAGTTTCTTTAACATACAGTATATCTAAAAATTTTAACAGCAAAAATTTGGCAAATTTTGGAAGCTTACGATGACTTTTTGCAGAATTTGTTACTGCCACTCCAAAGTTTGTTGTGGGTGGAACAATTACAATACTCTCTTTAGATCACACACTACAATACAAAATTCTTACCTATACAGTACACTAAAGTATTGACAAGAAGTCACATGATTTATAACAAGAAATACGATTTGAAAACCAAAATCATATATTAGGCTTGCCCTAATCCATTGTGGTAGAGACACAGTTTAGATGCAAATGGACAGTACATGTAGCTTGACACTTTTTTCTTCCTAAATGGGTACCACATTAACTACTGGAAGCATAGTTGTGAGACAAGTTGTGTAGCCATGCCAATTACCGGTCTTCAATTACTCTTTATTACCTCAGTTCAAATAAACTAAGCAAGCTGATGGTCACTTCTTTTATTTGTCTAAAACAAGTAGATTTTGTCAGTCTACCAGACTTTACCTGGCAACTAAAAGTATAGACAGCTAGCAACACAGAGCCAAATCACCTAGCTATACTCTATATTGAAAAAGTTGTTTCAGGTACTAAATCTCTTTCCTCTTGAACACAGCAATGGAAAGTATCTCTTCATTGAGTAGTTGAGAGCTTATTTTAACAGGATTTTTCACAAAATGCTGCAACAGATGTCGTAACCGGCTCAACCTCAAGAGTACAGTATGTGGGTGTGGTTATGACTGCACCCACTTTTTGACCACTCCCACCTGCTGGCCACACCTTTGACCTACTTGCAGTACAATTCTGCAGCTGCTTATGGTTTAACCCTGTTTATAACGATTAAATGTGTAATTTACTGTGTATTACCCCTGTTAGGTAGGTTACATACAATTGCATTTACGTACCGTAAATTTTGGAAATTTCCAATTAGAAAGTAAATTGGATAATGAATTTTCAATAACTTTAATTTTTGGATGGCCATCTTGTTCCAAAATTAAGTTTAAGTTTAATATTAAGCAGTAACAGTGAATGACTTTGAACAGGCATCAAGGAGCTCATAAGACCAAGAGAGAGTGAGTATGACCAAGAAGAAAAGAGTAGAGGGCACAGAGCAGTACTGAAGATAACTAAAGTCAAGCCACATGGCATGGATACTGGAATTCCTTTTTACCCAAATATTTCAATATTCAATTGTTTGATGATTAAGCGATGTGGTTAATGAAGGTTAACTCAGACTAATATATTACGCTGCTTCACGCATGCGTAGCTGGTTCCTGACTGTTGCTGTCTTGTTGGCTGAATGGCTGAATCTCTGTTAGGGTTCTCTCTGGCAGTTCATCAGTGCAATCAGTTTTACTTTGTCGTTCACTTTTCTGGCAGTCCCTGGAACTGGTCCGGCAGTTTCTGAGAAATAATTCGTAGCACTTCCATCTCTTCAGTCCCCGAGCGGTTGTCTTGTTCCTACTACTGAAGCCTTCAGAAGACACTGGGGTGCATTCTCGTTAGCCAGAAAGTCCTCTGGTTATGGCCACGGAGGTGAGTACTTAGAGAATAGCTGTTGAGTGTAATGGGGTTCCGCTGGTAAGCTGGGCTAGCCCAAGTTCATCACGGACGTTCATTCACTAGATCCACACCCACTCCCTTTGATGGATCCACTTCTTCAATCTCGTTAGAAGATCTATTTCTAAGGGACTCTGGTCCTGGTACTGTTGGCCAGGCCCTCCAGGGGTAAGTGTGTGTGTGTGTGTGTACGGGGGTGTCTGTGGGGGTGAGAGTGTGATTTGGGGGTCAGGTCAAGATAACTCCCCTACCTGAGTGATCAATATGTGAGTCGTACTAATCCTCATCCCAGGTATTGGAACTAATGCCATTGAGACAGCTGTTCACTAGCCTCCTCAGCAGGGAAGCACTAACCACAACTCCTGTGGCAGTCTATTCCTTCCCTCTTAGTTGGGTCTTCCCACACTTGCAGTCAATTGGCTCATCTCCAAAGTAGGCAGCCCTTCTGTATTGTCTCCGCCTCCAAGGCCTTGCAGCCACCCTGCTCTCCAGGATGTGCTCAGCTTCTGGGGTCATCAGCCTTCAAAACAAACATAATTTATTACAAATAAATGTGTTCTATTTATTAATGGAGTTTGTACTACTGATTCAGCCTGTACTTGCAGTCATGCTATTGCATAGTTTCATAATTTCAGTTGCTTAGACAAAATACCATGTTTCAGTTTTTAGTGAATGGTTAATCTACTTGTAATCCGGTCTAAGCTATTTCAATTGTCTGCTGGTGAATATTGTACGCATTCATGCCTCTCAGTCTTAGGGAATGAGTTTTTTGGGTGGGGTAGTTTTTGTGATAAGAAGGTCAATCCTTTTTAGTTAACTCGTTTGCTGTTGTATTTTAAGTATCATAACCCACTGTGTATTATCGAGACTATTTATTGCTGTGCTCATTATGACTATTATTAATTCTGTTATTTCTGACTGCGTTAGTTTACTTTTGAAATGAAATGATCATTGTTGTCTTGCTATATTTTAATTGCTAAATTGCCATATTTTGGCGTAGCACCACCCACTATGTCTACATAATACTTTGCTCTTCATGATTATATCACTAGCTCTACTACCCTCTGCTCACTAGCCTTTTAATGGTTTTATTATTACTGGGTACCCTGTCATCACCACTAACATCTACTAGGGCTCTTTGCTTATGCCCTCTAGGACTGCTGTGTCTTCTATGGTCCTTCCACCCTCCGGGCTGTTGGTTCCCTCTGGGGTCTTTTCACCCATCTCTGGGGTCTCCTGGCCCCCTAGGGCTCAGCTCTTAGGGGCCTTCTTGCTGTCAGGGTCTCCCTCCATCTGGGGTCATCCCTTGGGGGCTTTTCCCTTCTGGATCTTCCTGACCTCAGGGGCCTCCCACCCTCCGGGGTTACCTGGCCTGTAGGGGCCCTCCCACCCTCCAGGGTTACCTGGCCCTCAGAGGCCCTCCCACCCTCCAGGGTTACCTGGCCCTCAGGGGCCCTCCTATTCTCCAGGGTTATGCTGCCCTTAGGGGCTCTCTGAGTCACCTTGCCCTCAGGGGCCCCTCTTTCCCTCCAGGGTCACCTTGCCCTCTGGGGGACCTCTCACCCTCAAGGGTTACCTTCCCCTCAGGGGCCTTCTCACCTTTGGGTCTAGGCCCAGGCTAGGGCTTTCATTCTATACAACGCCCAAAGAGGCGTGTTTTTGATTACTATGCAATCTTTACTGGTTTCATTTCTTGTAACCAACAGTTGTTCTATTGTGGTAACTGGCTTATTAGTTAACCACACTCCCAAATATTATTGAGCTCTGGTTAATTCTAAATTCAGTAGCCACCTAGGCCTCTCACCTTCCGGGGTTCCCTTGCCCTTGTGGGCCTCCCTGCCAGGACCTGCCCTCAGGGCCTTTTCCCCTTGTTGTCTCTCAGGCCTCCCTTCCCTCAAGGGTCTTCTTGCCTTGGCCCCAATCGCTTGGTCATCAGGGACTGGCTTGCCCTTAGGGGGCCTTCAGCCCTCTTGGGTCATTTTCAATGACAGTCAGATCTCAGGAGGGACTTTCTTCTTGTCAGGGGTCTCCTTGCCCTCAGGGGCCTTCCACCCTGTGGGGGTCTTTTCCATTGTCAGTCAGACCTCAGGGGGGAACTTCTATATCTGTCACTCGCTGGCGAACCAGTTCTTCAGCTGGCTCTGCTTCCAAGGGTCCTGTTGCTGGTCCTGTTGCTGGTACTGGTGGGTTGGCTGTTGACCTGCCTTTCTTTGAATGTGGTAGAGCATCACATGGTAAGGTCTCTCTTGTAGCTGCCATCCAGTTGTTAGCCAAACCCCTTCTCCTGTGTAGAGGGTCGGGTGGCTAGAAGTGTTTCAGCTGCTTAACCAATTCCCCTTGCAAAAGGATTCTCACTCATGTTTTCTGTGCTCTTAGGCTTGAATCCCCCTTGGGTCCCTCCCTCAGTCGAGGCGTCTTGTTTCAGGCTTATTTCCCAAATCCCTCTCTCCCTTAGGTCTATCTCCTGTCCATAGGGCACTCTGTATTCAGGTCTTGGGGTCATCCCCTCTTAGTCCCTTCGTCACAATGGAGTGAGAGGTGCCAGGAGGCCCATGCTCTGCTCCATATTTGGGCATACAGGTCTACTCCTAACTTTGGTCCTTGAGAGGTATTGGCTCTCCAGTTTCCTTACTCATTCCCTCTCTGACTGACTCAGCCCCGCAGGGGGACATTTTCTCATGGATTCTCATGCATTATTTCATGTTGAATTCTTATTGTGTTTTCTATTTCTCATGGTTTATGCCCATCAAACAACAATCACTTTCAGTGGTACTAAGCCCTGCCTCGGGGCAGCCTTTCTGGCCAGAGCAAGCTTTCGTATCTCCTCTATGCCTACTACAGATAATACTGTTCCAGTTTGCAGCTTGATCAGTAGCGGGTATTCCAGTCCTTTGACATTTGGTGTGGTTTGCACCTGTAGACACAATTGTGGTCAGTCTGGGCATGTTACTTATATCTATCTATAAGTACAGGGGCCAGTGCTCTCTAGAGTTGTGAGTCCTCTGGTCCTTTTTTTCCTTCTTGTGTCAGGGGGTATGTCCCTTTACTTTACTGCAACTCTTGTTGCTATTGTCCATCAGTGAGCAGTATTCCTTTCCCTAGCTCTCTCTGTCTTGCTGACATTAATAACTTTGCTTCAGGGAGTCTCAAAGTTCTATTCCCGCTGCACTTCTGGTGCAGGGAAGCTTGGCTTCTTAGCTCTAACTGTTGCAAGCAAATCCTCATTGGGGTTTCAGATGGCTATATACTCAACTTATATATGTACCTATACTATATAGATTGACTAAGGGGTCACCTTTCATTTTAGCAAATTTTCTATTCAGAATCACACCAGCATCCATGTCTTAATTTACCTTGGGTTGTCCCCCAGTTTCCATTGTTTTATTACATTTCAGCTACTGGTACTTTTACAAGGTGCAGTAAGATTCAGTCTCCTTCACAGTAGGGTTTTCAGTGTATCCTCACAGCAGAGCAAAACTCTTTTCAATTAAGTTGAATTGCATGGTCCATCACTTCATACTCAGGAGGTGCCATGCTGTTCTTCCAGATCTGTGCATCAAATTATGGTTAATTACAACTTCAATGATTGAAATGATGACTACTGTCAAGCTCTTTCTCCCTTGTTCTCCCTGTTCATTCCTGGATTTCACTACGGTTGCAGCCCTGAGGGCTACCTTTGCTGGGTCAGTAAAGTCAGTCTGGTAAAATCCAGTATAGAAGCTTCCAATGGCCTAGATCGATATCTGACGTCAGGTCTATTAATTGCAGGCTGTCACTAGGCCAAGTTTATGGGCCACCTCATGGTGGTGCGCCTGGTTTAGTTAGTAGTAGCCATCCATGTGTACTCACTTTAATTGGGTCCCATCTTGATGATGTTCCTCCCCTGGATTTCTCTTCTCAGGGAATCTGGTTGATGTCAAACTGTGGGATTCGGGGTCACAGTTAGACCATGAACTTTTGTCTGGCCTTTTTATCAGTCATGCTTCTCTAGCACTTCAATGCTGGAGCCTTGCAGTGCTACTATGGAGGATAATTTAAAGTGGAACTCTATTCCCCAGTCTGCATAATCTAAACCTTTTTTGTACTTTTTAAAAAAATAAGGTCGGGTTAATCACTCCTGGTCCCCTTACAGCTATATTCTTCTCTGACTTTGTCTGCCTCTTCATTACTATGTCCCTGTTTCTAGTGTTCTGTTGTATAACCGTGTTTACTTTATTCTGAATCTATTCAGTGGTAAGGTTGTAAAGCATCTTGCTACAGCCCTTCATCTCTCCAACTTTGGCCCGGTGTGGGTTACTTCGGGGTCATTACATATTGATCCGGACCTAAAGAGATTAGACATAATATTGGTCACAGCAAATGCTCTAGTGTGGACAATATGTTGTCATTCAGAAAGAAGGCAGAGTTTCTTGATGTGGTAGCAGCAGTCTCTTATCAGCAGAATGTCAGGAGTAAGTGCAAGACTAGATCCCCTCAGGTCACTTAGATAATTGTATTTTGCCACTTGCTTAGGACTTAATCTTGCCTGGCTGGTCATTGTGGCCTTGCTCTCCTTTTTACACTTGACTTCTCAGACCCTCATATCCAAACATATCTAGACCAACAACCAACACTTCACTTTGGGGCCTTGGGGCATTAAGTCCTACCCTGCAGTCAGAACTAATCAATATTCCTGCATGCCAATAACCACAGCCTTTTGCCTCAAATGTTAATCCCTAAACAATGTCATGCCTTGCATACAGCTGTCTTGGCCTGGCTGCCCCTTCCCGGCTTACACCGGGCCACCGGGGGTCTTACATCCCCAAAGCTCTACCCAGGGTTACACTGGGCCCTAGTGGGGTCTTCATTCAGTGGCAGCAAGGGCAAATCCTTGAGTATCTAAGGCATATTATCAAAGGGCTTTAGAGGCAACACTGGCTATATGGCTTCATTAGGATATTGGGTGGGCTAAGGGGTGGGGCTTACCGTCCTCTCGTGGGTCACGCCTCTTGCTAAAGTGGCAGACCTTAAAGTAGTAGTGACGTCAACTGAGAGGGGAAAGGTAAGTCAGCTGATAAGGAGCCAAGGGGTTGGTGGGCTTTCCCTGTCAATATTATCAGTAGAGTTAATTAAAATTTTAACTTTTTTATTTTCAAATTTTTCTATCCATCCGAAAATTTCTAAATTTACGATATGTTACACTTGTATACATGAGGAACACCATTATTGTATTAATGTTATATATTTGTGTAATACTATTACATAGGTCTTTCTAACATTCAAGTACTGTATGTCCATATGTAAGTGTATTTGTTGTGCATGTATGTATTAAGGCTAGTTTACACTATGAAGTAAGGCATTTGACCTATAGAAGCATATGTTTTCCTCTAACATAGAACCAGATTTTATTCCTGTGTCTACGTAATGTCAGACTTGCGTAACATTGTAAACCAGCCTTTAGAATCCTTATATATGTGTAACAATTGTATATGAGTATTAACTTTTACATGTGGACATTGCCATTGTAGATATGCATAATACCATTATGCTCACAGATGTATGATATCAATTAACATTGTTACATGTATGTGTCAGTCTACCAGACTTTACCTGGCATCTAAAAGTCAAAAAGATCATTATTATGGTTAGAATTATTGTTATTAAAGAATTTTGTTTAGATAATAATTTATTACTTGAAGTTGGTGTCACTACAAGGAATAATCAATATTTAAGACTCTTAAAAAGCCATCTCTAATCATCTAATGATTTCTGCTACTTGCTATTAGCCTGGCATCATTTTTGTGTATTTTCATGGTAATGTGTTATGTCTGTTAGCATGAACAGTGAATTGAACAAATGTCTGGTAGCAAAATAATTTTTTTCAATACCTCTGCACAAAACACAAAACAAATTATATTAATTTGTAGCTGAAACATAACTTATCAAGTACCGTAATTTCTCTAAAAATTCATCATCATTGTTTTGGGGCAAGTAATTTTCAAAACAAAATGTTAGATGTCAAACGAAATTAATTATGCCAAAATAATTATTTTTCACAAATTTAGAGGCAGCATGGGGGAACATGAGTGCGTCATGAAAGTCTGCCAAGTCGCTGCTTACCTGTCACTCCATTGCCAGTAAGGGTAGGCTCTGCGAATTTTGGGGGTATTTTTTTATTGGCTCAATGGGATCATAATAATGTGTTCCAACTCCCATCATTCAAAAAAAAATATTCACTGAGATATGAGCCTTCAAAAATGCTCATTTTTGCTTCCTTCAATGTTACTTCCTGTCGGTGGGTGTGGCTAAACATGATGTCACAAGAGGAATAGATGCAGATAACTCCATTCCTTTACAGGGGGAAATGATCCATTATTCTCCATTAGCTTTCATTATTCTAAGCATGCAACTGCAAGAAAAAGACTCAAAATAGCAAACAAGAAAATTCACCTACTTGTGGTATTGTTACTTTTTCTTGCAGTTGCATGCTTAGAATAATGAAAGCTAATGATCCCAATCTTTAAAGGGTAACTCAACCCAAAAATTTTTTTTGCAGAAATAAGTTGGTAATAAAGAAAAAATCATAGGAAAAATAAGTAAAATTATCAAAAAGTACTGTTTCCATACTAAATCTTGGGTCAAAAGTTGCAATTTCTTGCCTTGCAGCCATTTTGTCAAAATCACTTCCAGTTGTGGGCGTGGTCACGCGATGACGTACATGGGGGAACATTAGCAAGTTTCTGCATTGAAATATTAGCAACTTCAAGGCTGGATATCTCAGCTATGCATGCAAGAAAGCAATTTTAATGAAGTGGACCATATAGGACTAATCTAAAGCTTACTACAAACATTAATACTGGTAAAAATCAATATATTTGTAAAAAAAAT